AACCTTAGCTGAAAGGAAGTCATAAATGAATACTTGCGAAAGAAGAAAAGTAAATATTAATCCTAGTGCAATTCATTTCCAATATCCGTCTCTTTGAATAACGCGGGATGGGTTGAAATGCTTCGGTTCAGAAGTTGGCAGTACTCACACATAGCCATCAATGCCACCATATTGGGACATTTAGGCTGCCCCAACAGTAGCTAGCTATCTAGTGTCAAAATCTTGTCACTGTCAGGACTCAAACCCTAAGACCTTGTGGTCAGTTGATGCTCTGAGCCACCTTTGGCAACATAAAAATTGGTATTTCATAATCTTTTTTTATGGTATTATGAGACAAATGCTAAACTAGCAGCATTCACAGAGAACTCCCAGGCGGAAACCAGCCCCTTTTGGAAACTTATACAATTAAATGTTAAAGTTATTTAATGAAAGATCCTTCAGATCTGTGCACAGGCATTGCCTCCTGCTGTATTTTTTGTACGTGTTATACTGAAATTCTATTTATGAAAACCTGACTAAATTGAATTGAATTGAAAGAAATATTTAAAAAAATTAATAATATTGATTAAAATGATATGCAGATTGAACTTATTTAATAATATTAAAAATTACCATTTTTTTAAAATATATTTTTAGGTTAATTCTTAGTTTAACCTATTTCTAGCAGTACTAATTAAAAGTTCATAAGAATACTGTACCAATATTTTATTTTCAATTTTTTTATAAAATGAAGCTATTGATTAAATTAAAGCGTTCATATCAAACACAAAATCAATTTTTAAACAAATTGTACATCCATTTTTTTAAAAGAAGATTATCTTCAAATACTTTCCAGTTTCACCCTTAACAACACATGCATCAATCACATTTTAAGAAATAGAGTGACAAATTACATGTTATTTCTTCATAATTATGACAGCATGTTAACCAAAAACTTTGATTTAATTTTAACGAATATACATAAAAAGAATTAATCAATCATTTATTAATCTTTAAGCTGGGTAATGCTAAACATGTAAATTGTCACCTTAATTGTGTAATTTTAATGTACTAAATTTAATATAAAAACTAAAGAATGAAAATTTAAACTTTTGGCAATTCAAAATATCAATTGTTATTTTTATTCCACTTCTTAAGTTACTTTAACAGAGAAAAACAACACAATCAACACCAATTTCAACTACATTTAAATAAGCCTGTTAATTAAATTATTTAACAAATGTTAACTATTAAATAATAACACTGGTCTCTCAGACCCTACTGCTATTTTCTTTTGTCAATTGAACCATACTGGTAATGCTGCAACTTTGAATGCTAAGCTATGCATCATGAAAGTCTCTCTTTGATGTAATAATATTGATCTGTAATTTTTCTTACTCATTGTTGTGAATTTGCCAAGAAGGCCTCAGACCTGTATTACTGTAAACATCAATATATTATATGCACCACCTTTGGGAGGTTCTTTTTAAAAGACATTAGTTGTTTTCTCATGCATTTCAAATAATATTTCATTCTCTTAGAAAACAACTAAGGTTAAGTTATGTATATTGTATTTTATTTAGTTAAAAATGTCGAAACAGACAAACAAGCCTATGTGTGTCTCCCCGAAGTCAGTTGTTGGTCCACAACCGAATTGCTTGGACTGTTCCAAGAAATTGTACAACGAAGGTATGAATAAATTGTGATTACTATTTGTTGCATCTAACTATGCGCAATGACCAAATTAATAATATTGATTTTCAAAAAATAATCTAAAACATTTAAACTGAATTTCACACAAGGGTCAAACACACCTGTAACAACTCTGCTTTAAAAATGTAATTTCAATGTTAAAAAAATTATAATTAGAAAATTTTGATTAAAATATATGTATTAATAGCTATGTACCCCACTAAATAATTATAGAACACTACTTTACCCCCACCTTTCCAAAGGAAGGTCACACAGAAAAATATCTGCCAACAAGCCAGCAAATCATGTATGATACATAGATGGGAGTCTCTTTGAGTACAATATGTAAATCAATTTTTAGTTTAATTTACTTTGTATTCTAACCGGTTCAATTAATAAGGCATTTTCCCAACCAATAAAATATTTTCATTTATTAAAACTATTTGTAAGATATACCTTACAATTTATTTTAATATTTTTAACATTGCCTTCCTTAATACTTAAATGTTTTGTTGTCTCGGAAACAAAATGAATGAAAATAATCAATTCTATAAATATTGAAAATTTTACAAGAAATAATCAGCATGATTAGACTACTCCTACTCTCTTCAAGCAACACAGGTAATGATGCCACCTCAAACTCCCTGACTCACTTTTTTTAAGCATTTCATAATAATTATGTATGATTCTTTAATGTTAATGAAGCAACTTCTTAACAACTATTCAGCTCTATGGACAGACAAAGCAAAGCTTGGCCAACGTGAAAGTTATTTATTGATTATATATTATTTATTCTGTACAGTACATACCAGAGTGGGTTCAGTCTTTGGTGGAGTGGATGGAGGTGGTTCATCTATCACATCCTACGAGCAAAAATCATAAATTTGTATAAAGTAAAAACACAGAAGAAATCTCACAAACAAATTTTAGGTACTGAAGATCATTGAAAGTTAAATAAACTTCATATACCTTTTATTGTGAAGTATGCAAATATTTATATATGTAGATGTGTAAGAAAAAATTAGTCCTTTAATAAGTTCAAAAATCATTACCTTCCTCAGCCAGTAAATTTACATATACAAGATGACTAGACACACCAGAAATGATATTTTCAGCTAAAAAGAAGTATTACTTCTTCATTTTTTGTTGTGGTCCCTCTTCCTCTTCTAATGGGAAGTTTTTTTCTACGATTGCAAGTTTTACTAGTATCTTCAAATATTGATGGATAGGCGTCTTCAGATAATTTTGGCCTATCTCGACGAACAACTAAAATTGTACCATCATCCCTAGTGGCAGAAACTTCTCGAACAATGTACTCTTCCTTAAAATGTTTAATACACACAGCTGCAGAATTTCCAGGAACAAAATTTTCTCTTGGAATACATTTAAGCCACAATTCTCTCCGATCTACATTTTTGGGGAAAGCAAACGTTGTAACAGTAGGCCCTCCCTGGGATCTATAGTTGGAAGAACAAAGTGGCACACAACACATTCGAGGCATCTGAAACATGAAAAGAAATGTTTTTTGAAATAATACATAGTTACAGACTATTTGGATCCCACCTGAGATCAAATAACCCCAAGCCAGTATTGTAATCATTAGAATGTTGGCATCCAGGAAGGAAAGTTTTAACCAAATTTATCTAGTTAGGCAACGTTACATACGTGTGTGTGAAATAATGAAGCATTTTTATAACAGTATAAGAAATCTTACCTTCTCGTATTTTAAAAATATTGAATTGAGTACGAAAAATTTTGAGCGCTTATCTCAGTAGTCTTAACCAATGATACCACTACTCTACCACTTCTGGACATCATTATTTTCACTTATTAACATCATTTCAATGCATTGAATAGCATGTCAAAATGTCATAAACAAGAAATGAATTAATACAGAATAAATACATTTGAAAAGACAATTGTAAGTATGGTAGAACGGAAGACACCAATTTCATGGAGATTATGAAAAATTCATTTGTTCAGTGGCGGGATTTCAAATACAAAGTGTCTTCAAACAATCCTTCAAAATTCTCAAGAGTACATAGGAATAACATTTGTTTAAAACTTCAAGTTTATTTGCGAGTTGTTGTGTTTTAATCACCATTATACAATCAGGACCGGCGCTAAGTTATTTTGCACATCAAGCAAAATGAGATTTTGGCGCTTACCCCCCTCCCATTAACCACAAGTAGCAATTTAAAAAAATGTTTTCGATTAATAAACCCCTACAACCTCCTTTACCAACGACAAAGTTACGCACAAACCTACAGAGTATACTTCGTTTTATTAAGAGACATCAGACAAGTCGTCAGCTGTTACGGTGACATCCAATCGGGAGCTCTGACGTCACTATAGTGAGCTCACCGGCCCGGCAATTACCTGGGGCCCCAGGACATAAGGGACACAAAGCAATTCTTTTTGTCTAACAGAACATATTTTAATGGCCCCTTCGGAAAGTTAATTGTTGGTCGACTACTGTAACGTTTGAATCACGTATTTTGTGATGAGAACGCGAAGATGTTTTTGAAATTTGTAATTTGACAACCCGGGGCTCTATTATTTAGTGCTTCCTTTAAAGTTGGACAGACCCACAACGGAAGCATCTTTGTCCTACTAGGGGGTCCAGCAGGAATGGTTCCTTTTTGGCTATTCGAATCGAATATGCTGATATTTTGCAAGCTTTATCAAAAACAATTTTAACAAGCATAAGTGCATCTGAGCGAACAGATGCGTGCAATTTGAAAAAGTTCCAAGTTGTACTGCATTGAAAAATTTTGATCGCGACTACTGATTCGTCTAAAAAATTTGCAAAAATCTGATTTTGATATTTGATAAGCACTGGATTTGATTGAAGCAGCTCGCAAGGATCTAAAAGATTTTAGAGGTGAATTTGACAAAGACAAAGTCGATGCAATAGAGCTGGATACATCTTAGAGCGCAAAATTCGATTTTTGCGAGAAATGCGTAAACAAAAACGAAACATCATTTCTATGAACTGTGCAAACATCAATGGTTATCTGACGGCGAAAAACGATTCGAGGTTAATGATTATTTTGCTTATTAAATGTGATCAGTCACTTGACCTATCGATTTATTGGCTCGAATCAAATAATAAATTTGTATGCGATCATTCAGCCACAAACTTGCAGATTTCAGACGAAGAACTTGCGAATCAATGGAAACATTCAGCGAAAAATATTATGACGACGTAACTAATCAACTGTTCACCCTGTTATTATCCTTGCGTAGTTGCCTGAGAGATCGAATTTCGAAGATTCATTGAATCAGGGAATTGGCTAACTTGGTCCCAATCGAGTCCTTCACTCATTCAAGTAGCTTTCCAGACTTCTGCTCAGTGATCTGGTAGTTTCTAACGATTTCGCGAAATTCAATGGGGCAGAAAAGAGGCAGATCTTACCATAATGCCCACAGAAAATAAAGTGACGAACTCCTTAAAAGCCAACCCGAAAGACATTGATAAGTTCGTCAAAGTCAAAGTCCACAGAGTTCGATTTTGATTTTTGTGATTGATTATAATTAATAAAGTATCTTTCAGTTAGTTTTCAGCACGCTCCTTTTAGTTGAAGAAAATTTTTTGGGAGCTCCAATTCAATTTTTTTAGCCGGGGCCCGAAAGGGCTAGTTATGTCACTGACAACGAGATTAAGCACGCAAACTAACAATTAAAACTGCAACTGAGAGAAACAAGTGTAACTCATTTTGAATTAAAATTCAAAATTTTACTACATTCTAATTTCTAACCAGCAAAATTATATTTGTACTATATCCATCAAATTTCCGCTTTGCTGAAAATCTAGTTAATATCAAAGGTAAGATTTTCTAGAAGTGAGGGTCTTCCATTGCTCCCAGTACGCTAAGGGAAGTGTAAGAACTCTTGTTAAGAAACTTGTCGCTCGATTTGAATGAAGCGCGCTACGTGCACGGTGTTGCCGACTTGCGCCGTCACGATCCTCTAAAAAGCACGCGAACGTCTGCCTTCAGGATAATGGCTTGTTTTTTCTTTCTTTTTTCCCCAGAGTTTTTACATTTACAACTTTTCAACATTTAAGAATTAATTCCAGGAAGTACTATGTACTCAAACTAATTAGATAAAATTTTATATTATATATTTTATTACAATATATTGACAATTAGTCATAAACTAGTAATTGACAATCATACAAATATCTGATATTGTAATGTATTGTAACAATATGTATAAACATTTTCAAATAAAAAATATCAAAAATATAAATAACAAAAAAAAAAAAAAATGGAAAAACAAAAATGCTCTCGTGGCGAAGTTGCTTGCTTTCTTTTACCACTGAGGTTCCGGGTTCGATTCCCGTAAAACCGCATGTGAAATTTGTTACGACAAAACGAGTTTGCACGCTTCACAGAGGCTAGTCCAACCCATGTGAAGTGTCTTCCACAAATATATCCGCAAACGAAAACAGTCATTCAAGTGGCGTATTTGAACATGCGAATTATTTAAGATACGTATTACATATACAAGTATTTAAATACTGCCCTACCCTGCTCATTTCAAATCGTACCACTTTGGTGCAAGATCAAAATATTTTCAAACAAATATCAACACAAATTTGACAGAACTATTTTCATACAGTATCAAATATAACTGGTTTTCATGACTGTGCCGTGTGCTTTTTATTTGTTTTTTATATTACGTAAAGAAAATAGACGAATACTGAAAAAACGACGGAATAATGGAAATCGCAGTGTAGGATATCATAATAAATACAATTGAGAATCCAAGCAATGATTCCAATTATTCAAAAACTGACAATTAAGTAAGAACGTACAGAAATAAAAAATCTCATTAATAAGAAATGTTATCATTCACTAATTATTTTCACCTGGACTTGCTATTAATTTCTTGATTACTCGTTTTAATTTAAAAGTAATCAATTTATTAGTAATGTTCTGTTTTACTAAGAGTAAAAGAGGCGCGAATAGTATTAATAATGTTACAGTTGGCAACATTAACAATTGATGTGACGTAGGCAGTAGCCTCCTCTCCCCGCACCGCGCGCTGCAAGTCGCCAAGAAAGACGCGCGAATAGTGGTGCCAGTCTAGTATGTCACTGTCACTTAATGTGTGCACAACGGTGACGATTATGTTATTGTGTTAAGAGGAGCGTTTTCGTGTTGATACGATTGTGCCTACTAGTGTACTCCATTACATAACGTACAGTTTTAACGAGTATGCTACTCGCTACTAGCTACTACGTAGTAGTGGGTACGAATGGAGGAAGAAACTCAGTGCCGCTGAGTTCAAAAAAACGATCAAAACTGAAACTTCAAGAAGAAGAACGTGTTCTGAAACCAAAAAATAGATTTTTTAAAACTGATAGTTTTCCAGTGAAAGAAGAAAACAAAAAAGAAGACGAAGGGGAACCTGAAAGTGCACATGCTGTTTGTGATGGTTCTGTTGGGAACAACAATGCATTCGCTGGAACGAGCTGTTCCAAAGCAGACATATTGTTTTCAGACCCTACTGAAATATATACAAGTAAGTTCTTACTATAATATTGTAACTGATAGATTAGCATTCAAAGTCCATCTGAAAATAATATAAAGAACCACCATTGGCAAACTCATTAAATAATGATCCAACTGTGTGAATATTAAATAATACTAGAGATTTAATTGCAAAAAATGTCTTTGACCAGAAAGTAAGATTTGATTTCACTAATATATTAAGAGAGTACAAAGAATAAAGATATTTGACTAAATCTCTTTTTGAATGAAAATTAAAAAATGGAGAAATTCATGAAAGGAAATGGATGATTTTCTGTAAATGTAAGGGAACGGTTTTTGTGGCCGTTGATTAGCATTTAACACTAAAGAACGATCACAATTTGACGGCAAATATGGATTCAATGACTGAAACTAGTGATGCCTCAGTAGTAAAATTTTCTAATTTCCTTGGTGTGGTGGTGGACTATTTTTACTGGCTTGCCTGCATCCTCTTAGCGGCTGCCATCTACCGCCTGATACATTTTTGTAATTTTTGAAAAAATAAAAGAATAGAGCAAAATTAATTTTGTCAACTTAAACAGCGCAAGTAGTTCTCTCTGCACGAAAAGTTTGAGGTAATTATTTGGAGCCGTTTTTTAGAATGTGGCGTTTGAGCGTTTCTGAAGATGCGAAAATTTGAGCACAATTTTGACAGAAAAACATTGTTTTCAAGAAACTTTATTCTGCATCATTAAAAGCACATATACTCGTAAATGCAATAATGCCAACAAATCGCTGCTAATGTAAATATTAACGACGTGAGAGGCTAGTAAAAACTTTTTTTTCAAAAACAAAAGTATAGAGTGAGAAATAACTAAGTTACACTAATTATGTATTTTATTTTGACCCACCTGTGTAACCATTTGAGAAATCTCCATTTTCTGCTAATTTAATTATTTATGTTGTCCGATTAATATACATTTATTATAATATTGATTAATTTTGCTGGTTCAATCTTTATAAAAAATTTCCATTGACTTTACAAAGCTGGGTTCGAATTATAATATGTACCTTCTTATTTTACTATTACATGTGTACGTGCGTCCTAAAAGTTCGGCTGTATTATCCTATTATTAAAATTCTGATGACAATTTCTACGAAATATCAGCCTTTTTACTTTGATAAGAAAAAGGTAACATTTACTCTGACAGATTTACACTTCTGAGCTCACTAATGACTTGGATTATCTTTACTTTGTACATTCAAAAATTCATTACATTTCTTTCGCATGAATGTTCGTAAGCTTACGGAAATATCTTCTACGCTGGTCTTCAACATGTCTTCCATCCGGATGCCGTTCGTGGGATCTCCTCGAGGTGCTCCTGCTATCGTCGTTCATTCTGGCAGCGGGAGATTTTTGTAATATTCTCCGAAAATTCTAACTGTTTGATAATCATATTTTAATAAAATTAGTTCCGGGGATTGGTCAGTATGGGTAAAGAAGTTAGTTATGCCAACGTCTCAAAATATTTAATTTCTTCAGAGCTTACTAATACACATTAAGGTCATTTCCAGCCACCACACCCAACTCCACATGGACTTGCTAAAATATGTGGGTCCATCGCGCGACAAGTCTTAATCACGGCCCGATTTTTACCGAATTTGGCCCGAAGTTTACTACAGCAAAATTACTATGTCGCAATGTTTATTACCATCTGAAGGACTTTGTTGCTTTCCTGAAAAGAGAATTTGTTTCTCCTCGCTTGACCTAAATTTTCAACGCCCTCCCCTTATCAATCCCATGTTAATACCACCAGACCGTGCCGTCCCACGATAATACTTTTCGCTTCTAGCATCCAGCACGGCACGCCTATATGTTTATTAGTCCGTTGCTATGCTGCGCGTATTCCCTGGATTCTAACTTTCTCGATGAATCAATTCCCCTATTACACCCGTGTAACATCTTGGTATGTCACAATGTGTGTATTGGATTATTTGTACAAGAAATATAAATACAAAATTTGGTGCTATTTTTGAGAATATTTCGAAAATGTCCCCGGGCTTTATATTATATAAGTATTATATTCAAAATTTAAGAATGTTTCTCAAAATCACAGTGCTTCGAAACGGTCCACATCTACCAGAGAATATTCATTATGGATAAAAAAGCAATTTCTTACGTATAATCAACAAAAAATGTACCAATTTATAACGCTCAATAATATTCCTGGCGAATAATACATAGTTTGTTATGTATATATGAAATTGATTTAATAGTTTTTCCCTAAATTTTTTGCTGTTTCAAAACATAAATATACATAAATAAGTAAATTGGTTTAAGAAGTTGGTTCTTTGAAAAAATTGTGTTATCAGTAATTATTTGCAAATCCTTTATGACACCTCCAGTAACAGACCCGTAAGTTATCTATCTATCTAAGTAAATTATTCGAGAAGCTACAGTTCACCAACTCTTTAAGAACTTTTGAAGATATCACCCAGGTCTTTCATAATAAATAACAGCTGCTTTTATGGTTTTCGCATAAGCGTTTGATCGTCTCTAACACCAAATTACAAATTACGATACATAGGAACTCCCGTCTATTTATTCAACATAATACACAGTTTCATCTCTTTCTCAGTCAAATTAAACAATATTTCACCTCCCTCAACAATCTTCGCTGGGGTCCCGAAAGGATCTCCGCTCTCTCCCACATTATTTAACACATTCACGTCAGATATACCCGTTCGAGACCAACACACAACGGCGCTTTATGTTGAAGGCACAGCCATCTCTGCTGCGGACTCACAGCTTTCCTTCGGCATACATCACTTGCAGTAATCACCACACATTTTTCAGAGCTGGGCATCTTCATGGAGACTTAATCTACGCATGTCCGGTCTGGGGAGGAGCTGCTCCTTCTGTACGTAAAACGCTCCAAACATTCCAAATGAAATCCTTCGCACTGCTGGCAAGACGCCTTGGTACATACGAGTATCAAACAATTCCGCAGATAGTTTGTTCTTCAAACCTACAACCAACGCCGACGAATCACATCTAGATTCACGAAGGATAAATTTAAACCGCCCTAAAACGAAACGCATTATTTCTCAAACTTACTTTCTGTAATTTATTTCTTAACTTTAAATAACTTTTTTCTAATCTAAACCCCTATTTTCCCATTTTCATTTAATGTAATTACTATTGATTATTTAGGTCTCTTAGTGGGAGGATCCTCGCTCCACAGTTTGTGACTCTTAGTGGAACGCGTGCAAGTTGCAGTTCTTATCACTTTTTTAAAGTTCTTGCTTCGCTGTGTATAAAAATGCAATAAAAATATTAATAAAAAAGTATTTGCTTGCATTAAAAAGATAGTCTCCAATGTCTGGCGATTCTTGGTTAGTTTCTTCACTGAGTTTTCCATTATGTTAATGTGGAGAAGAATTAGCCGATGTTGCAAATGCACGAGTTTCATCTGCACTGTTCTTTATCTTTACATGTTCGAAAATTCCCATATTAGTTATGTAAAAGTATAGTAAAAGTGCGTTGGTTTCTCTAAAATACGCAAATTGAAAAGAAATCTACAAATGACATTAAGACATTCTGAAACCTATTTAATTATCGTAAACTTGTCAATAAATATATAATTCTTTAATGACATAAATTAATTATATATGAAGACATTTTTAAGAAAAACTGTAAAAGTCCATTAGTAGTTTGCACACACACTTCCTGCGCTAGTATATAGAGCGGATCACTGTTATTGTAATATTTATATTTTATTATCTGTACTCAGTTCGTTTTAGTGTATCTGGCTAAATTACTATGCCAGAAAAACTAAAACAAGCAGAGAACGATTATATTTTGTTTAAGAGCGTAACACTTGTCACTCTCGTTGCTTGAGTTGTCGCCAGAGAGTAAGTGAAAACAGCTCTGCAATGCGCTCATAGGAGAAATTCTTTCATTGTTTACATAATTATTTTGACTTTCATCGTGAAAGACAATATTTTCTCTTCTTGCGTTAAAAAGCCATTATGCAATGTCAGATGATTCCTGGTTAGTATCTTAACTGATTCCTCGATTATAATTTTGGCATGGAGAAGTATTATGGGATGATGAAATAGCAACAGATTCATCTACAATGCTTTTCATCTTTAAATGTTAGAAATTTAACATTGTAATTCGGTAAAAGGATAGTAAAAGTGCGGTGATTTCACTAAAATCCACAAATTCTAAAACACTTCGCAAACCTCTTTAATCCAATTCTTATATCAATAAATATATCATTCTATTATATCACATATATTAAACATATATATGAAGATATTTTTGAGAATAAACAAAAAATCATTAATTCGCACAAGAGACTTCCTCCACTATATGGAGCATATCATTAATATTGTACTATTTATATTTTATTATATGTACTCAATGCGTTTTAGTTTATCTGGATAAATTAATGTGCCAGGAGGTCTGAAACTAAAAGTTAAGAAGCAGAGAGTTCTTATATTTTCTTTTTACGATAGTCTGTCTGTTTTTACGATCTGTCATGACTCACGTCCTTGTCGTGGATGCTGTCGTCGTCGTCAGAGAGTAAGTCAAGAAGACTATGCTATAAGTCCACGTGGAAATTACTTCATTGATCACAATTTTTCTCAAGTTCATCGTCGAAGCATATATTGTCATCAAGCATATATATTGTCTGTATTTTCATTAAACGCCACTGTATTAGGAGACAGACATGTTGGCATTAACTGCCGCAAATGTGCCACGTGAGGTGATTTATTTTCTATTTCCTTTTTCAATGTTCCATTGTCATTGCGTTTTGTTTTCGTAATACACATTCCACTATTTCAGCCTGCTTTCTACATTCCACCGACATAATAGTAAATTCGACATGCTCGTGGTGTCTCTCTCATCACCTGCCTCGCTGCAAAATTCGTCGTATCCGTACACGATTGGAAGACTCCTCGCTTCGGCTTCCTGCAGGCGTCGGGGCAAGTTGCTCGGGAAGAATAGCTCGTACACATCCGCCGATCCGGATGAACTGTCTGACTGAATGGAGTCATTACTCCACCGCATGCCGACCAACGGCGGAACCCACGAAATAGGCGGCGGGGGCTGGTAGAAGAAGTGCAGAGCCTCGCAAAGGATATCCTCAGGACTCTGATTTCGCATTTCGCTTTTGCTGAGTTGAAAAACTGCATCCGCTGACTTCCATTTCCTCTGCTGAGGAATGGACCACACTTTGCGAAAGTTGTCTCCCATTGCTTCTTGGCCCGGAAGTGATTTGCTGTCCTTTGCGTGATCGCCACACTCAACAGAACGGAGTGTCTCGATTGCCTGTTTCCTCGATCGCGTTCAGGGGCGGCCTCCATTTCGATTGTTGCCACTAGGTGTGGCTGGACCTCTTCCTGGTTACGTTACCCATTCTAGTCCGCGCATTAGAGCAAGTGTTTGGAGATAAAACACTTTCGGCGTGTTTAACCCTACGTCATTTCTTTACTACAGTAAAAATAATAAAAGTTACGGATTCTCATCCACACGGTCTCAAATTTTCAATTGTAAAATCCGTGTTGAATGTACGTTTTTAGATGCTACTTTGTAGGGCATATGTCGTGTTTAAGTGTCATTACAAACAGGATTAACATTTAAACAGATGGCGATGAAATTTATTCTATTCATTCTAATAAATGGACAGATTTTCCTAATTTTTTATTCAAAAGAATATGGATGGAAAAGAAATGGTAGTGGCGTTTCGATAATTTTAATTTCAACATTAATGACGGCAGAGGCCAATCTTACGATTATGCTTAAAATATTTTCGGCGTTTACAATGGTATGCAAGCAAAAATTAAGAAAAAAACATTTTAGCTTAATGCGTCCCGTGTGCGGCATACTCCCTAAATCTTGTTGGGCCATTTGCTGCCGGATCTTGGGAAGAAGCGTGCACACACATCGCGAGCAAAACTACATAAAATATTGGACGAAATACAATACGTTCGTCAAATTTATTTGTCAAAGTTCAAAGAACTTACACAAAGTTCTTCATCAAAGATAGTTGTCAAATATCTTTGACATTGTAATACGGGACTATGAGATCTCATACATGTGCATCACATCTTACTCTGGAGTCAAAACATCAACCTTTAGAAAAGGTCAGCGCCCTAATCAGTTGAGTGATTCGTGTGGGTCCAGAGGTATTAGAAATATGGGATGAATTGATATAATTTTTTCTGGTGATAAAATCAGTACAATCATAATTCAGGGTACTATAAATACAGATCTAAATTGCCCTACAAGCAAAATAAGAAGAAGAATAGGGCCATCCATGGGAGCCCTGACACCTTTTCACGTTACTGAAACTAGAAAGGTTTGGCTATTATTAGCTACAACTGAACGATCTCGTAAATATATGTCTGGAATATATTTTTTAAATTTTGTTCGTTATAGTTATTAATATGAAAATGCCAATACACACCAAACAACAAACGCGGTTGAAGTTTGTGTCCCGAGGTTTATTACCAATCAAGTGTGTTATTTGTGATATCCACCGTGTGTCGTTCTTTACTTTTCGCAATACCACTTCTTATAAAAAATTAACATAAATTAGAAACACTTTTGATTTTAACACGTAGGAGTGCAACGCCACTTTCAACTTCAAATCAATAAGAATGTTGCTTCAGACGCGACAGTTACCAGAAGGCCAAGGTTTTATCGAAATAACATATTAGAACATTTTTACTGGATGAAAATGGTTACTTTAAAAAGTTACTGTAATTTTTGGTATTTTTAGAGCATGATCACGAGATGAACTTATGTCATTGAATATTGATGACGTAGAAATCACGAGCAACTGGGTGCTAGTTACACTAAATTGCACAAAAAAGGAAATTGTAATACCCAAAGACGGTCTTCTATTCAATGCACATGATTTGAATAAAAAAACTAGTGGAACCCGATAGACGTTGTCCTACGCTCCATCTCTCTCTTTCTCCTTCATTCTCCCTTTCTTTCTCCACCTCTCTCTTTCTCTGCCTGTTTCTTTCTCTGCATCTCTGTCTCTCCTGGATGAAATTTCACAAGCGGGAAGAATTAGCAATGATGACGTCTTAATAATCGTACTTCGGGGTGTGGCAGGTTGTGTCGAGCGCCCTGTTCAGGGCGTTTTGAGTCAGAATAAAATCATGAACACGCGTCTATGTGCGCAGGCGTAAGCATATTTCCATCGTACGATGCCTATATTGTTTCCACAAGTGCCAGCAATAAGGTGACAAAGTTTTATCGCAATCGTATGAGCGATACTGCAGCGCATTAAGCACAAACCAAAAAAAATGTTTTTATCCATTAGATATACTAATCTATATAACCTATAAACGAAACGCGATTCCGTAGATTATAGAAATGGGAAATGCACTAAACAATTTTTTTAAAAAAATAAAGTTTTTCAACTTTCTTAAGGAAGTTATTTGCTTTTCTTAATTTGTACATAACATTTATACATACACTGATTTTGTATTTTTCATTACATTAAGACTTTTCCATTCAAAAAGGTATCAATTTTTCAATGTTATTTCAATTTCTTGTATTAATCTTAAACTTTTATTTTACATACTAACAGAAATGCATAAACACATTTCATACCTATACTATTGGGTTAGCCAAGGCATATTTTGACATCTAATGGTAAAAATATCAGTCTTTATAGATATTCCCTTTCCCCTTTGTATACTGAAAATTGACATATTACATGTTTGAGATTCTGATTATAGTATCTGCGCGTTCGTGTTGGATCAAATGTAAGTTTAACTCTAAATAATGATGAGTTTAAACTATAATGCCCAGCTCTAGCTCATTTCACCATTGAAGCAAAATCTCTCTCACTAGATTTCCCATGAAACCAAGACCACTCTGCTTCTTTATAAAACATGTAAAATATTCCTTGACTTTGGTGTTTGCTTTATGATCGTTTCCTTCCTAGCACGGCAGTTGTTCCTTCCTATCACTGTGCTAAGAAGCACTGCATTAGATGTAGCATTTTTTGCCAAAGTGTCAGCCATTTCATTTCTAATAATAATTCCTTTGTGTGTAGGTATCCATTATATATATATATATATATATATATAATATTAACCTTATAGGTATTGTCTGCATGAAATTCTTTTAACGTCTTTTGATATCTAGTAAATAATAGTTAAACTTTTATTTACTGTCCTTTTTTGTAAACTTAATAACACACTAAGGGAATCGATATAAATCTCAACAACCTCTGTCTTCCATAGTTATGTCCATATCTGGAAAGACACATGCAGTTCCAACTGCTTTGGTATCCTTAACTTTGCTTCCATCAGTAAAAATGGAATCTTCAGTGAAGCTTGAAAATTGAGTTTTGATTTTTGAAATAATTCACTAGGATTATTTGTTGCCACTAACAATTCTCCATATACTAATGAAGTGGAAAATTTTCATCAGCTAAAACTGTTTTATCTAGACAGTGTATATTTCATACACTGTTGTAAAACATGAACTTTTTCCTATAATCAGTTGTAATATTTTGATTATAATTTTTAATTCCTTCATATCCTACATATTTTTTGTGTGTGATACTCTTAATTAAGAATTTATTACATACATATTTTACACAATCCTCAATTCTCATTAATTTGGTTTCTGCCAACAGTACATTGGTGGAAGTACTATTCATGTATCCTAATGATAATCTGATTGCTGAGTACTGTAACCTTTCTAATTTTCACTTTAAGTTTTTTGTTTGGGTTAATAAACCAAACAGTCATAATCTATTATCGATCTGAAGCTCTTATAAACATTTAGTAAAGTACCAGGCTCAGCTTCCCACCATGTACTTCTGAGAATTTTAGTAATATTTATTGTTCTACATTTTTCTTGTATATATCTTATGTGTGGAATAAACGTGTTTCTAAAGTCAAATATTAAACCTAGAAATCATACAGATCCAGCAGATTTTATTCTGGTGCCTCCAACACATATATTAATTTGGTAGTTTGTTTCTTTGAGGTGCAACTTCAAGCCCTAATTTTATCAACACTTTTTTTAGAGTTTCAATTGCATTCTCTATTATTTGCTTATTAATACCTGATCTTTTAATTTTCATATATGTAGCAATATCATCAGCAAATTGAGATACTTGAATACACGATGGAACATTTTTCCATTATTTTAGATGTATACAATATAAATAAAATAGGTCTTGACACCTCTCCTTGAGCCAGTCATTTATAAGCATTACAAGCTTCATCCATCACATTTGTGTATAAATATCTCTTACTAATCAATAATTTATAAAACATCATCATGTGTTCAGTACATCCAATTCCAGCTAATCTTTCCATAAGTAAATCACTATTAACATTGTCAAATGCTTAATTTACAATCAGCAATTACATCTTCTTTGTGCATAAATGCATGTTCAACATATAAGTCCAGAACAGTGATGTGACATTACTTGTCACACTAGTACTTGTAAAACTAGTTTGATTCTTTGTTATTATATTGTTTTTTTCTGACCACCACTTAAGCCTTTCAATTACCATTTTATCAAATAGTTTACAAACACGTCAGGTTAAAGCCAAAGGTCTTAGTTTGTTACCACTATTTGACTTGTCAATGAAATAAACGTAGGTTTCCATCCAGCTGTTTTTTCATCATTTTTTCTGCATACATACTATTAAACATGACCATTAGAATGAAGTGATATGTAACAGGTAAGATAGTTAATACTTCGAAATTAATACCATCCATTCCCGGAGTAGAGTTCTTATTCCTTTTTTTTCATAGCTCTACTATATTCCAAATAGTTGAAAGGATCATAAAAAAGGGAGTACACATATATACATATTACTGGGATTTGTAAGAATCCAAGATTTTTGATAATGCACTAGACACTATTTTTGCTGGAAATTTTCCTGTACATTATGTCTTGATTTTTACCCATTAATTTTTGAATATTTTAGTCTTATTCAATGTACATGTTAAGTTAGTATTGATACGAATTGTTTTCGCAAAATTTCTAAAACTCATTTTTTTTGTTAAATTTTTTTCGTACATGTAGCCTGCGTTTTATATTTAATAAGATTTTTCATTAATTTGGTAATTTCCAGTTTTCTGTAAGTTGCCTTACTTAACCTTTTCAATTTATAACACTCTCCATCCCATCAGGGCACTGGATTATGATTATTTTTAGCTGTTATTTTTTAACCAAAAGAGTATTGCTCTGTATTGCTTTAGTT